GAGTTTATGCAGTGGGAGCATTAATGTGATGCCTTGGAGAGTTTGTTCAGCCACAGCCCCACGTGGATTGGGTTATCTGCGTGACCTGCACCCTCAGGAACAAATCCCCTTTGTATTCAATGCCTTTCAGTCCTGGCTTTTCTCTACCTCGGAGGAAGTGAGAGAACCCGGGACACTTGCTGCTCGTCAGGGGCCAGTTCTTGCAATCTTCATTCAGATTAAATTCTCATGGCACAGGGCGGACGCATTATTGTGTTCGGGGTATTTCCAGCTCGGGTAGCTTGCTCTTTGCTGTAGCTGTGAGGTCAGGCAATTCTAGCTGGCTGGTAATTCCCCCCCACATAACCATCTTACATCTGCCATTCTCCCACCTCACTTGTTCTCCATCAGTCCCCAGAGATGGCTGCAAGGAGACTTTGGAGACTCCTCTCCTCAGGTCCTCAGCCCCTTCCCAGAATTGCATCTGGCCCTGCTGATCATCAATAGCTTCTTGCCTATTGTCCTTTGCTGGAAGCCCCCTGAGACCGCCGGCTCCTCATTAATGCTGATCTCCCTCAGGCCCCTGCTCCCTTCAGCCTTTGTGCGGAGAAGGGCGGTGAAGCGGCATGGCAGCCTCTCCTAGGGCTGGAGTGCGCTTCCCCCTGCCTCACAGCATTCACAGGATGTTTTTTGTCCCCACCTCATCCCTGATGGACACTTCCACTTAACCTTCCCCCTTGCCTCATCCGGCCCCTGCTGCTCTACACAGCCACCCCGCACCCGGGCCTTGTGGTTGCTTTTATTTGACATAATCCTCTAATTAATAATATGCAAGGCTCAGCCTTTCCAAAGAAGGGGAGGGATATTAATGAAGCCTCTGGGAACGGGCTAATTAACCGCGATGATCCCCGTTTTACTGATAGGGAAGCTGAGAGTCACAGAGCTGGAGGGGTTTGCCCCACGTCACAGAGACAGACATGGGCAGGCAGGGTTTTACCTCCGGGGCTCCTGGTTGCACACCCCCTGCTTTGCCCATCACGTCGCATGGCTTCCTTCTCCTCGTGTTAAAGAAAACCTTGAGTTTTTATAAAAGCCTTTGTGTTCTTCCCTGTAGCTGGACATTTCTGATGAGGTACTTTTGCCCTTGTATGTTCTCTAGAGGAGATACAGGGCAGGTCGGTAGGGGTATGGGTTTAGGGGTAGCACCTCTTTGGAGGAGCATGCGATTGCCATGCCCTTTAAGAGCCCGTGCATAGCTCCCGCACTGGGTCCACTGGGCCCTTTGGATTCCCCTCCATAGACTATGCTTGCGCCATAAAGCAGTATGGCTGGAAGGACCCTGCGGAGGTCTTCGGAGCACACCCTGGTGCAATGCGTGTGCCCCTTCGTGCACCATGCTCCTTCCAGATGCCGCTTGTGTTGCTTTGGGTGAATCGTGATACCAGGCTGGGCACCCACTGCGTGCCTCTCTGTCCCGACAGGGTGCGTGTAGACCCTTTGCAAAGGGCCAAGTTCTGCACTCGGTTACATCAGTGCATACCTGGACGAGCTCCATTGACAACCGTGGGGATCGCTCTGGATCATCAGTCGTGTGGCGGTGTCAGGATGCTCCTCTCACAGACAGGACCCAAAGCAATGCTTGGCTCAGCGCCCGCCTGCAGTCGGAGGTGGCACAGTGACTGGACTGCAGCAGGTGCGGACCCCCCATCTGAAGACATGAACCCCTTGCAACAAGGGCCGAGAGTCGAACAGCCTGTCCTCGCCCTGCCACTAGAAGGTGAACTTCTGTTTCCAGAGGCCTTTGGTCCCTGCAGGCTGTTTTCTGGGTCCCTCGACACAGGGAGAAGGAAGAAGCCAAAGGCCTGAGACCCCACGTGGCCCTTCCCAGCTCCTCCGGGAGCCCTTGGGGCAGCTGGGCAAGCTACATGCCCCACACAGGCTGCTGAGGAAGTCGGCTGGGCTCTGCATAGGGATCCAATAGGGAGAGAAACCAGTCCGGCCCATTCATAAATGGCTCGTTAAGTCCCACACAATTACCCCCACCCAGGTAATTGCAGAACTGTGCTCTACAGCTATTTGCACAGTTCCCCCTGCTGCTTTCTCCTCCCTGGTGTTGTGCCATGTCGCGCAGGCAGGGTGACACGCATTTCCCTGGGGAGATAACGCCCTGACCCCCAACTCTTCCAAAAAAGGACTCATTTTACAGGAAGGAACCGTTCAATGGCCAAACCCTCCAGGTTTCACCTTATATGAATGAATGTCCTGCACACACACACACACACACACACACAGGTAGGCCTTATTCACATCAAGTCTCATTGATTTCCTTGTGACTCAGCTGGTAGGGCTGGGCCGTCATCAAACAGCACCCCCCCCCCGCAACTCCAGATGCCCTGCTAACCCCATTCCCTACTGCATCGCATCCTCATCCAAATGCACGCTCAGCTTGGCGCCCCACTTCAGCAGCACGCTGCTTGTGCCCGTGTCACTTAGAAATTCATGTGTACCATTTTCCAGGGGCTGTTATTTTTGCTGAGAGCCAATATCGAAGGCACAACCTTGCTGCCAGGTTGAAGCCCGCGCTGCAAAACTGGCAGCAGCCTGCAAGTCGAGGCCCAGGCTCCCCCACTGCTTCATTGACTCGATTTAATCAGTTCATGTTTGCACCGCGTCCTAGACAGGCGAAGTGCTTTGTAGCCCCTCGGCTCCCGGCTCTTCGCGGGGTGACCTTGCCTTTGTTTGGAAACGAGTCTCCCGTACCATACCGAAATGCAGAATTGCAGAAACACAACCGCACGAGGCCTTGCACCAGAATGCAAGAGGAAGCAGGAATTGGCAGGACCCCCCCAGCCCCCAAACCCCTGCTCCTCCGACCACCCCCATGGTGGAAACCTGGGGGCTGCATGGCACCGAGTGCCAGCTGCTCATCACAGCCCATGTCCACCCTGGGCAATTGGAAGGGGGTTAAGGGCGCGCTTTCCTGGGTACCAGGGTGGGCTCATCCTCCCCCTGCACTGGGTGCTGGCTCCCCAGGGTTGTTGGGTTTTTTCGCATGTGCAAATGCACCCCAAGGCTTGTTTTGCATGTGCAAATGCACCCCCCCAGGCCCGGCCCGCCCCTGC